TGTATTTCCAGCATCCGTTCGGGCTTGAGCACAAGCCCGGTGGATTCTCGGATGTCATGTACTGGGCCAAAAACACAACTTTTTGCGCGCTCGTAGCCTGTGTGGATATGTTTCTCGTCAAATTCCCGGAACATTCGCTGGCCAAACTTCGGGCCTGCACATCGGAATCGATGTACAAAGACTGCGTGATAATCTCGTCGATCAATCAGATAGCCGAAGCGATGGGCATGGAGAACGCCGAACTGATCACCTATGTATTCCACAATGGCATTGCGGACGATGTGGAGCGGGTGCTGAAGAATTCGGAGAAGGAAGAGCTGAACAGGTCGGATTCGTATTTCCCGTATATGAGGGAACTGCAAGTCGTGCCACGTTCGCCGTATTCTGCTAGCCTGAACGGAGATCTCTACTTCTGGCTCCACTGCATCGGCTGTTTTTTGGGCCAAAAACGCTCGTTCAATGCACGACAAATTGAGCGTACCCAACCAATCAGTATAATGACAGATGCAGCCTACGTTGTCTATTATGCGGCCAAGAATAATGCATGGCAGGAGCAGCAGCAGCAGGAGTCTGTTCGGGCAGAAGTAACGCTGGAAACATTAAAAATTAAAGATGAGATTGTGCGTGCACCTCCGTCCGAAGTGCTCGACAAGCTAAAGGCCAACAGAGGCCGACTAACCGATGAGATAAAGGATTACCTGATGCCAGCTGTGCGCCGCATCAACGGCGAAAGGCAGGGCACAATCGGACGCTTCATCAAGCTTCATTTCATCGGCGTTGAAGGAGGAGCTTCGCGAAATTGAAGAAAATTTGCTTGCGAACAGGGAGTCCGGACGGCGAACGAGAAAGTTGCTGGAGAAATCTAAAATTTTACTCAATTCCTGCACTGGACCATATCATTTGGATTGGCTGTAAAAAGAATTCTTACTTTGTTTTGTGTTTTGGACATTCCATGAACTGACCAATAGGACGAGGAGCCAGCCAAAATTGATGAAATTTAGCTTCGAGGTATAGCCAGAAGAAGATTGGAATGCAGGAAACCTGATCAGCGTACTTTTGATGGCATACCATCCAAGTTAATTACCGGGGCATTGTGGGGCTTAAGCTGTGAATATCAGAGATTAGTAGAGAATAAACGGCGAAGTCTCTAAAGAAAAAGAGAGAGAACGAGAGACTAAGGCAGGAATTCATGGATTTATTAGACTTGATATAGGCAGGGTACATCTCATCGAAGTTTTATGATTTTTGTTCATTAGCATGTAGGCTAAGTCTTCTCTGATTCTGATGAGCCACTTTTTTCTTTTTTTTTTTTTTAAATCCGAATTTTTTGGAAACAGAATGTGAAGCTGAAGAAGTGCAGAGGGTAGGAACAGAAGTGTGAAACCCAGTCCGCTTGATACATTTGCTTTCATTGTTTGATAAAACTTTTTTTCAGATTGAGTACTTTAGGTGCGAAACAGAAATTTACTCTTTCCGCTAGTCCGATCTCCAATCGCTGATGGATCAGATTTATTGATTTTTCTTTTGTTTTTGCAATTTTAATCCACTTGTTGTTGTTGCTCGAATTTTTTTGT